AAATTCATTTTAGAAAGAATTTGCATAGGAAGAATTTAACACTGTCTTTATATTTTAGCCATAACTTTCTACTATGAACTCCGATTGAACATATTTTTGGACAGTAAAAAGTAGACTTCAAGGGATACAAAAGTGTATTTCATGAAAATTTTCTGAATCGACTTCTAAAGAGGTAAAAATTGTTCCTGAATTTGTGACAGAAAATTGGCTCCGTGCGGACGCCCCAAGCACCATCCGAACGGTACTCCCTGCCATGAAACCTTATTTTTAATCTAAAAGAGTGACTTGGCACCGTCTGGATGCCTAAGCACTGTTCAGACGCTACCCTAAAAATGGCCCCGATCAATTTTAGTATTTTTTTTCGTTTTTCACCCTATAAATACCATAAGGACGTCTCTTTAGTTGTTTTTCATCAGTTTTCAATCCTAAGAAACCTTAAAGGGCAAGAGATAATAAGAGAAACACAAGATTGAAAGGGAATTGTCAAGTTGGAATTAATCAAACACACTAAGTTTACATACAAAACTACAGAATCAAGTTAGGAGATTCTTCTCAAGTCTTTCATTGAGATTTAGGGTATAGTTATGTATGTTTTAAATCTTCTAGATTATTATATGTTAAATAATCTTTCATTCTTGATTTTTTTTTACTAATATATTGTTTATTTTTTATTCTTTTTCGAGTAACATATGTTTTTCAATGAGAAACATGTTTTGTATCCAAAATACATGTTCTATTATGAAATTCATATAGATTCTTAATTTCTGAATTTCTATTATTGACTAAATTTGGTTTTCAATTAACTACTTGTTCTTACTCCAAGAAATTATGATTTTTGACAAAACCTTAGAATTTTGATATCAAAATTATGAAGGTTTTCTTAATATGATCTCTTGCAGATTTTTATTCCTTTACTGCTGTAGTATATTGAGAATTGTGCAATTGTAATACTTGAATTGTTAAGGAAAATTATAATTGGTTAAGATTGTCGTTGTTGAAAAAATTGTAGTTTCATCTCTTCTATGGTTTGAGTGTAATGAACTTGAATTGCCTTCGAAAGCTGTCGTAAAGTGTTAGAGATTAGTTTATTCTAATGGGGGCGAGATGGTTGCCTAACACTTGTAATGGATTGTTATTTATGAGAGCAATCACTATTGTTCACGTAAATTCGAAGTTGAGGGATGCTATACGTTTCTTGGAAATGGCTCGTCAATGCCGTGAAAAGAAGGTATAAACCAAAAAAAAAAGTAGTTTGAGATTAGGCCCTGCCAGGAATGATTGAAATTGTGTAGTTGTGGTGTGTGAACGAGATAAAATCAGTGTGTAAATTCTTAAGAAGCAATCAACATACATGAGAATATAAGAAGATGCTACTGAGTTATTTATTAATGTTGTAATTTGTTGCATGTTTATTCATATCTTGAGTTATTATATCCTATACACTTGAGATCATTACAACTGTCATCGTTTCATTCTCAAAATTTATATATATTATTTTTTGAAAAAGACTTGCCTCCTTTATATTGTTTTAAAACTTTGTTAAGATTTGAGAATGATTTCTTATGAGCTTTTGCTCACCCCCTACAACACACTTACATATTTTGGCATAAAAGATAATGTCGATGTGAATGAACAAATTGACTACGAGGCATTAGAGAATCAACATGTGGATTCTGACGTAGAGGCTTAGAGATTCTTCTTCGTAATCTAGATTATTTTTAGAGTTGGCTACAAAATAATGTTTTAGCTAGTTTTAATTATTTTGTTGTTAGATACAATTTGAGTTTGAATTGTAAGTTAAAGAATTTACAATATTTTATTGACTTTAATATTTATTCTTTGTTAGATGGATGAATGATTTATTATTTAATGATTATTATTAGTTGCTCTCATGATTGAATGATTTTTAAATAGTAATGTCTTATAGGGTGAATTTTGGAGAGTTACAATAGCTACAATTGAGGATAGGTGCTACCTTCGAGTAATGACTATTATGATGTTTACTCTCCACGTATGTTGATCTTCCTAGACTCTTGAGCTTTGGATTAAACTAAGACCATTAGCTGAGTTTGACTTGCCTTTTGATGATTTGAACTCAACCCACGAACTGAGTCTAGGACTAGTCTAAATCTAAGCTCGTCAAGTATAATGTTTCAAGTCATGGTACTAAGTCAATTTCCTTAAAATAATATTCATTTCCACTAATTTAGTATATAGGTGTGCACCAGGTAACAATGAATTTGCCTTCAGAATATAATAACGTTCAAAATCGAATCTGATTTGACTGCGTAATGAACAAATAAAGTTAAACCCGGAATACCTTTGAATTATTCTAATATGTCAAGGTAGTAGAATTTTGTATCTGCAAAAAAAAGATTCTAGGAAAGAAAAACAAAAATAACAGAAAGTGCTTTAAGCCTGTTTGGAGAGAGATTGATGAAAAATTGAAGTAACTTGAAATGACTAATTCTTGGTTTATTTATAGATCAATTAGTGACTATTCAGAAAGCTATTGAACATGTATGGTGACTATTCGAGATATGTCTGTTAATTAACAGAGATTTAAACTTTTAAAATTAATTGCCTCTAATAGTCACATTTTGACAATTATTTTTAAATTTAAATATAACCATTTGATCACACCTTTTAGCAATCCACGATCTAGATTTGAGCATCAGGATATTTAACTTGATCATTGATCACGATCAAATGATCAATCATAAAACCCACTATCCGATCGTATGAAATTATGAAAATCGACAATCCAATCAAAAATAATAAAAAATTAATAATCATGATCTGATCGCTCTTTGCTATGATGCATATGAGCCAAGTGCACCTCTTATGTGCGCAGATAGCTTTGCATCATCCTAGTATTTATCTGTGGGTCTTAATATTTATCAGAACCTATTATTTATTCAATGATTGTAATTGATCAAGTCAATAAATTAAGTCAAAAATTTAAATCCAATATTTTCTATGTATAAATGAATGCTTTCATTTTCTTTTCATTTTCCAATGTGAAATTGCCTTTAAGACTTTTCACAACTTTTCATAAAAACTATCACTACATAATTTAAAATCCACCAAAATACATATTAAATATACCGATAATTTTGAAAAGGGAAATACTATTTATATATAATTTAATAATCTTATTTGGTGACATGATTGATTATAGCAATTGAATTGATGGTGGATCCCAACTAATAGTAGGGTTCACTATCAATTTAATGGCAGAGAATAATAAGGTCACCAAATAAAGCCACTACATAAGGTATATATATAGCATTGCACTTTTGAAACACGAAAAGAGTCTCTCGCATACAAAGTAAAGAGTGCGTACATTTAACCCTCATAAAATTTTGTATTAATGAGAGTTTTGTACATTGTGTCATTTTTTTTACCTTGTGTTTTAAACCCTTGATCTGGTTGGAGGAAAACAAATGAGAGAGAGAGAGAGAGAGAGAGAGAATCCTATAACACATTACAATTATAATACATTACAAGACATAAAAATAGGAAAATAAGGGCTTATAGATAATTGCAGGTTCTAACCTTATTCCCTTCCCTCTCTCCCCCTCTCCAATAAAGCAATAATTTTTTTTTTTTAAAAAAAAGGTAACCATTCTTAAACTGAACTGATCAATTGAAAAACTAAAAACTATATTAACTAGAAAAACAGAAGAGAATACAATTTTGGATATGGCTAAAAGAAAGTAGAAGAGAAGATATAAAAATATAGGATTAATATAAGGTGAGGCAAAGGTATGGGGAGTGGTGGGGAGTAGTGGGGACTGTGCTATGTCCCTCCCTGGCAGAGGCATTCAATGCTTTTTGGCAATACTAAGGTGGCGAGAAAATGTTGCCATGCAAATCTTACCCATCCCTTCTGAGTTTTGATCTCCATAATTCCTTAAGATCCCTCTGATGATAAATCCAAATACCATTTATTGTATGAGCAATGTTATTAAGACCTAATTTATTGATCTAATTTATTGTGACTTTTGGATTTACTGTAGATTTTATCAAAAATTAAAACTTGATTTTGATCCAATAATTCTTATGAGGCCACATTATTAGATTATTTTTAAATCTAAATTGTATTACTCTTAACGTATACATAGCTCTCGTACAGCACAACCCACCTACACTACACTAATGTTATGGTATATATATGCTATGCTATGTGGATCCCACCTTCCCAGTGGGCAAGGTGATATGATAACCGACCCAACCATGTAGGTTTCTTTTGGACTAACGACTGGTACATAAATTTATGAAAATATACGTAACCAAATGTCAGGGAGTCTTTTATCGTACTAAAATTTATAATCTCGAATAATTATTCATTAAAACTCTATTATTTGGGTTATTCTCACTTGTTCTCAAGTCTCACAGGTTCTTGAATCTTCATTTGGTTTGTTGTTTGGGACCCTATTTTGATTTCTTTGAATCTCTTCCTCTCATAGTTCAAAGAAAAGGAAAATTCTTGATTTACCAAAATGAATTGCCTATTATCCATCCTCATTCTCTAAAGAAAAAAGAGACAAAATCAGTGTCTTTTCTGGTTTTCTTGTGTAATCAAAAAGTTTTCATGAAAAGGTTTTATTTCTAAAATATTTCCAAATTAATTGATCAAGCTTTTAGAACCGAAATGATTGGTTGAAATTGTATAAGTACATCAGAATTCCATGTGTGGCTATCATCTTATCTTCTCTAATCTATTTGTTATGTGGGTGAATTTTGCAGATAGGGTTTGTCATGGGGGGTCGTGTGGTAGCATTCTAATCTTTCTCCTTTTGGTTTGTCTTGTTTGTTTGGGATGTCATGAACTCACGTGAATGCCTAGCTCTGTGCTTCCACTCTCCTTTAAAAGAGTTATCTCTCTCTCTTCATTAGGCCCTTTTTTCCTGTTCCTCCCTTTCTCTTGATCTCGGCCTTTTGCCTTCTTCCACCTTGACTGCACATCCAAAAGCCAGTTCGTTGTTCTCTCTCTCATGACTCCAACTTATCTAAATTCATCATCAGCTTCTCCTTTTCTTGTTGATCTCAATGAGGATCAACACCATCAACTATTCAGCCCAAATCCTCAGTCTTCTTCTTCATCTTCTCTCTCGTGTCATATGTTCTTGAACTCAACTCAAGATCAAAATGGATATTATCATGAGGAGATACAGGTACACCAGCAACATCAACCCGAGGTACATAGTATAAATGGGTTTTTTGCTGATACAATTTCTTTATGGTTTTTATTTGAATGTAAATTATTTTTCGAGTGATCAGTTGGATCACTTTTGTTTTCGTCAAATTTTAACATTAAATTAGCACTCTTCTTATGATCTGACATTCTCTTGGATAACTTTTTCATATTAGGTTAATAATTGCAATTTACATGGGGGATCATCGTCATATGATCAAGAAAATAAGGGTGACAATGGCCTCAAATTATATTTCTGGAAGAACAAAGATATAGGGGAAAATCAAAGTGAAAACAATCCAGTTAAGTGGATGTCCTCCAAGATGAGGTTGATGAAGAAGACAAAGAACCCAGATCGAGCATGTGTGAAAATAACCACCACTACTACACAGAAGTCTGAAGATCAGAAGCAACTATCATCTTCTCTCGAAACTGATTACAGCAGCAACAGTTCCTCACACAACAGCAACAACCCAATTAGGGTTTGTGCTGATTGTAGCACAACCAAAACACCTCTTTGGAGGAGCGGACCTAAAGGTCCTAAGGTAATATCTCTTTTCACCTCCGAATCCTAATAACCAGTATCTATAATCAAGAACAACACCTCTTGAGGATGCTGCAAATTTCTTCTACTGAGTTCCCCAATAGTAGCTTAACTCTTCCTACAGTATGGCACTGCTGGATGCTTCTGATCAATAGGAAGAGGAAGAGAGAAAAAAAAGTTTATGATGAGAATCTATTTGAGTAGATCATTATCAAGATCTACGAATCTTTGCGATTTATACTACTAGTTATCTGGAGTGAACTAGCATAGTATATTTCTATACCTTGTACTACTACAACCATAAGCCCCACTGTGCTATACTTGATCTATTTCCTTACTCCATCGGAGAATGTGGATGACTCATATTAATTCTGCCCTACCACGAACTGTCTGTGTTCTCCACTTGTCATTTTTTTTTCCTGTCAACTATTTACCATGTTGCCAGTTCAAACACTTAATCTAATGATGTACCATTTGTGTTCAGACACTTTGCAATGCATGCGGAATTCGGCAAAGGAAGGCGAGAAGGGCCATGGCAGCAGCTGCAGCTGCAGCAAATGGCACAGTTCATGGAACTGAGACATCACAAGTGAAGTTTAAGGTACAACACAGAGACAAGACAAAGAACAATGGTCATGTTGTACCGTACAAGAAAAGGTTCAAACTTGCTGCTGGACCGTCTCATGTGCAAAAAAAGCTTTGTTTCGAGGATTTCCTGATAAATCTGAGCAAGAGTTTGGATTTTCACAGAGTCTTCCCTCAAGACGAGAAGGAAGCTGCGATCCTGCTAATGGCTCTATCTTGTGGTCTTGTTCATGGCTGAGTTTCCCACTTCTTTCTCCTCCAATTTTAGGGTTACATGTTATGGTTTTGCAATGGTAGGGATAGAATATGTCTGAGTGAAGTGAGCAAACCAAATTTAATAAGCAGTACTAATAAATTTGTGTGGTGAGTTTGTAATCTTTTGGTAGAAAGAACAGGTTGTAACCAAAATGTGGGTCTCTTGTTCAATTATGTACTTTGTGATTTCAAATTTAATGAAGTATTTAAACATTTCTGCCACACTTTCTAGTTTTAGACAGGAATTTACTTGGTTCCCCTTGCCTTCTGAAATTATACAGGTTAAGATAACAAGTGAAAAAGCTGCAGACCATGAGGGTGACGCCAGAGAGAGCAACATTAACAGTCTGTGGCTGGCCTTAATGCCTCATCAATCACGATGTTGAGGATTTCCAGTAGACAACAGCTTTTTCATGTTCTGGACAAGTCGCCTAGAGCAGGGTACTTTTGTCACAGATTTGATCGTGGCTTACTAGAGGGTGGGTCTAGAGAGAGACAGAGAGTTGTACTGTTGAGAACAACTGGACTTTTACCACAGACCCTCTCGATGTGTTTATCTTAGGTCAGATAAGTTCGCAGGCACGCATAGAAAACACAATTAGGGTTCAGAAAATAGTGTTGTTAGTTCTAAATTTATAACCTTGTGGGGTCTTGGCACTAATGTTGTTCTATGGTTTCAATCAAGTGAACAATTTTTTGTAAGTACGCAATTTTTAAGTGTCAATACTCTCGTGGGCTGCCCTTATTTTGACCTTGTCTGGATGACATAGAAGAGTTCAAAATCAAATCTGTCTAACAAACTAATGCTATACTATATAATCATGCAGAACTATTGACCCGATATTTATGTAGAGATTAGAACTGCTCATTAGTTTCCTAGCTCATAGCAGAAGGCCGTCAAAGTCTGTCTTAATTCGAACAAGGACGCTAAACTTTTGTTCTTGAACGAACTTGTGGATTAACATTTTCGTTATAAATTTTTTTTCCAATCAATCGCTATATAAGTACAATCAAGAGAAGCAAAATATAGCCATTGATTAGCATTATGATACAATTGGCTGCACCTTTGGGGACCGATGAACCCTAAACGGGTCTTTCAATTGTACTTGGTAGGCACTAACCATCGCACAATTGAAATGCTTTTTTTTGCTAAACTATGTCTAACAAAAACAGCTTGTGGAGTTGACATATATATATATGTACTTCAAACAGAGATGCCCAGACCAAAAACAAGAACAAAACGATAGGAAACTTGTTGTATAATCAGGTTACGTTATTCATGAAAATCAAATGTGTATGGAACATATTCCACTTTCCGTTCTAGAAACCTTGCCTTTCTGAATGATGCATAGAAAGCCCGACGCTGCGAATAAGAAATCCATTTCCATATATGGGAAGCAACGGTTATGTTTCTTACTAAGTTCTCATATTCAATCCTTTAATTTCAAGTACAGTTGTTTAAAAGCTTGTTTAATTAATGACCTGTTAACATCATGTTTGTTTGTGTGTTTACTAATGAAGAACTTAAGAAAATGGGTCATAAACTAGGATCCGACATTTCATGGGTGAACTTTGTTCATGATTGATGAGGATGACATGGGTTGATGTTTACAATGTAACGGTGATACACACAAATCAATTCATGTAAGCAAATAATTACTCACTTTTCTTTTTTATAAATCAATAACTATCCAAGTGGAATTCACCTCAGTTATTTAGTATTTTATTATTGGTTGATAATATTACATAACAATACTGACATTGTATCACCGTTGTATCTTAATCCTTGACAACTAGGGTTTTGGATTAATGTCATTCATAAATTGTCGAGGATTAAGATTTTACTAAGTGAAAACTAGGTCTTCCATAGCATCAAAACTCGCATGGGGAGTGATTAATTAAGACTTAATGCATAGTTCTCTATAATGTCAAATTTTGGATAGAGTAGATTTGAAATTCAAAGTGCATCATCAAGTATGATGCACAAAATCGTCTCGTGCAAAATCAGCAGTCGAGTGTGTGATAAGGTATAATTAATGGATAATTAATAAGCAATTAGTGGCAATAATATAAATATTGACTCAACACACAGATATATAATAGTTTGGTTCGAGTGACCTACTCCACTTTGAAAAATGGCAACGGTGGCTGGGGTCTTTATTGATGGATAAAGTAAGAGAGAGAAAGTTCTGGGAGTGTGCTCCAGGAGAGATACAATTGCCAAAAGAGAGAAAGTGTGTGTAGAGAGATGTAGAGGCAAAGCTCAATGTGTAGTAAAATGTCAAGATATGTTGGGAGATGCCTCTCCATATGGAGAGAGCTTACGATATATAGGTATGGTGAGGCGGTGACGTGAGTGTGAGGGCGCTATTTTTTCGGAGAGCATAGTTACAAAAAGTAAGTACAATTAATTTTTGTATATCCATCTCAATGATCTCTCCCTCACGTGCCCATTCCTTCATGGACTCCTTGGATCTTGGACTGTGTCGAATTGATAAAGTGGGATTGGGCTGTCTTTTAACTGACTTGGGTTTGCTCGATTTATTGGGCCTGACCTAGTTAAATTTGGGCTCATCATTTGCCCCCATGCTCCAAATTCTTGTTGTGTCAAAGATTTTGAGGGCACGAGTGAGCTCTCGTTTCTTGTTCTCCATAGTATAACTTTTTAATCCCATTTTATTACAGTAATGTTATTGAGCTAGAATGGGTTTCATTCAAAAACCCCCTTTTCCCCCATTTTAGGCATTCAACATAAGGGTTTCATTGATTCAGTATTGATAAACTCCATTTCACTCCTCCTTCTTTGCAACCCATTTCTTTGAGACATTAGATCCTCCATTGAAGGTTAGGAAGGGTCTAAGAAGAGGGATTTCATAGAGAAGATTTTTGAAGTGGTCTTATCAACGGAGAAGAGTGGGGAGCCAAGAGGCACATCAATGGGTCAAGAAGTCATCCATGGCGGAGTTGAGATCGCTAAGGGAGCTGGAGATTTCAAAGCCCAAGTGAGGAAGACCTTCGGCCGAGCCAACAGGCTGCCTGGCGACTTCAGTCAGTTGTTGGGCGGCGCCTGCAGGAGGGAGAGAGCACGAGAGGGAGATGGGAGCAGGGCAGGTGGTTGAGGAGGCAAGATCTCGGTAGGCGGCAGTGGGCCTGTGATAGGCAATGGCTCCTTAGGATGTGTGTGCGATGTCTCAGGCGCAACCCAACTGCAAGGAGGCGCCCTAGGGGAGCTGGGACACATCTAACACACATTGGGCAGCGCCAATTGTGTGCCAGGCGACGCCCTAGGCGCAATTCGAGCTTTTTTTTGCCAAGCCAGTGATGAGGGTGATGTCATCAAGAGAGGAGGAATGCTGACTGGTGCCCAAGACGCTAAGGTCTTTGCTCCAGGCGGCATCAGCGGCGGTGGTCTATTCGTCCCAAGCGACAGTGGTGACTTGGATGTATTGGGTGATGTTGGCGGAGGTTCAGGCACGTTGGGCAACTCTAGGAAGTATGCGAGCAAGTCCAGTGGCTCCTTTGGGCGCTTAGGTAGCGTGAGAAAGTGGCCAGGGAATGATTTGAACAAGCCGAGCTCATAGGGTATGTTATATGGTGTTCATATTTATCCCTTTGTTGGTGTGGGTATTTTCTTAGTATTAGCTTGATTTTTTTTTGACAGGCGCCCATTCTGATGAGTTTGTCATGGGGGAGACTACTCGAGACGTCGAGCAAGGCATGGGGACTGCTGAAGATAATGGCCCAAAGGTAGCCTCCATACTTAGCTCCATTGACTGTGATGAGGATATGGTTGGTATAGTATCTTCGTATCACATTCCTCCCACTATAATGTGCCGTCGTGCGGAGGAGGACGAGCCAACATGTTGCGACTCCTCTGACGAGATTGTCCTTTGTGAGGATATCTTGGAGGCGGGCTTGATGTTCCCAATCCCTGGGCCCATATGTCGGATTCTAGGGCATCTGTCGCTGGCTCCCGGGAGATTGGCTCCCAACGGTTAGAGGGTGATACTGGCATTCTTTTCATTATGACGGCTGATTCACAATGCTGATATCCCTCCCCCATTCGAGGAGTTCTTGGCCACGTATGTGCTTTTGGAGAACCCCATCCCCCATTAGGGGTGATTTCGTTTTGCCCTAAGGTCGGGTAAGTTCATCATTGGGCTTCCTTCGAACTATCATAGCTGGAAGACCAAGTTTTTCTTTGTTGGAGGTTAGTGGGCCACCAAAAGTGATCGTGACCTGGTGCCTTCGAGGGGGGACACCATCCACAGGACCAAGCTAGGTAAGGACTCAAATTTTGATTTTACTTCTAGTTGTCACATACCTGCTCTTACTGAGAGACTGGCTTCTTTGTAACTCCATCGATATTATCCGCGGAGCAAGAGGGTTGGCTCCAGATAGTACGCGACCATCCGTTCAAAGAGTTCTCAGGGATTATGTCCGCCTCAGGTCATTCCAAGGCTAATCCCAGGGCGAGGAGGAAAGGTATTTGATCTTTCTAATAAACTCTTCATGGTTACAACGCCGTAGGCTCTTTATTTCACACCATTTTTGCAGGTACCTCTATTAATAGAGCAGTGGTGGAGGCTGTCTATGCTTCTAGGGCGGCGTCTTCTCCTCCTTTTTCTAAGAGGGCGAAGTCTGATACCCCCGGTGTTTCTTAGTCGAGGTCCACTGGCCAAGCTAGTTCCCAAGAGGCAGAACTTGGAGATGCCCCCTGTTCTTCCCCGATTGTTGTTCCTTTACCTCCCAGAGATAGTCTCAGTACGATTGTGAGGATTGAGGCCCCCGAGCAGTCTCTTACTAGGGTAGAGGCCCTGCCTAGCCATTCTGCTTCGGGCAGTAGTTCAGTACCAATGTTGCAAGACGTAAAACTAGCTAAGGAGCGACTTTGGGGGTTTGTGACTCGTGCGAAGATCCAGGACGTTGCCTCTTGAGGTCTAGAGGGCATTGTTGACGCTTCCATAGAGGGCTTCACCTTTGTATGTTTTTCATTCTTCTTTGATTTTGTACCTGACTTCTTTCCTTCACATTCCACCTTTAGAATGTCTGTAGGTGACTAATATTTTTTCCTGCTTGTTTTCAAGTACATTGAAGATTAGGGAGGCACTTGATGGCCAAGCAGCAGAGGGGCAAGTACAAAGGGCTGCTGAAGAGCAATTAAGGCTCGAGCAGCAGCCGTGAGAAGATGCCGAAAAACAGTCAAGGCTAACACACGAGAGCGCTATCATACTTGAGACCGAGCTTTGAGTGTCTCGTGAGAGGGCTGCCCAACTGCAAGCTGATAGAGAGGTTGCAGAGATAGAGCTGCAAACGTCCGTGAGAAGGTCGTTGTGTCAGGGGGTGACCTTTGAGCAACTCTTGAGAGAGCTACTAGGACTGAGACTTACTCCATGGAAATGGAAAAAAATAGGGATGTTGCTGAGAGGGCCGTGGCAAGCGCCTTTATTGATGGTTATGAGGAGCTCAAGGGGAAGGTCTCAACAGCTTTTTTCGCTTATGACTTTTTTGGCTTCGTCCCTTACGAGGCTCTAGGGACTGGTGACGAGGACGCAAGCGATAATGGGAGCGGAGGCAATGAGTGTCATTAGGAGTATGAAATCTTTGTATTCGCATTTTTGTTGCTAGATCTTGTTCTATCTTTTTGTAAAAGCTTCATGAACTTCTATGAAATAAAACTTTTTAAAAAGATATTGTGAAATTTTATTTCATAATCCAAAATAAATATTTAAGGGAAATTGACCAAAACAAAAATAGATAATCTAAATGGTGACTACTGACTTATACACTCACTGCCTTGCCCCTGACTACTGCTAATATTTCTTTAGGTGCTCTACGTTTCACGGATGGGTTAAAACTTTTTCTCTAAAATTCTGGATTTTGTAGGTGCTCAGTCTTCAACTTCTGTGACTGTATAGCGTCCTTCCTAGTTGGGTCATAGTTTTCCTTCTTTAGAGTCTTTGGTAGACAAGATAACCTTTTCGAAGACTAGATCCCCGGACAAGAAGGAGCGAGGCTTTATCCTCGAGTTGTAGTACTTGGTTTGTATTCTACATTCCTAAGCATGGCTATCTCCCTTTCCTCCTTTACCAAGTCAAGGTTGATGCGAAAACCTTCTTTATTATTGGTAGAGTTATGGTGATGGACCCTAAGGGAGTGTACCCCAAGCTCAACGGGTATGACCACTTCTGTCCCGTAAGCTAGGAAAAAAGGGGACTTGCTCATGGGCCTCCTTGGTATCGTTCGATAAACCCACAGTATTCCTGGGAGTTTGTCTAACTATCGTCTTTTTCCACTCTCCAGTCTGGTTTTCAAATTGAGGAGGATAGTCCTGACAGTGACCTCTGCTTGCCCATTAGCTTGTGGATGGGCGGGGCTGGAGTGGAGCTGCTTGATCTGTAAGCCGGCACAGAAGCCGTTAAGGAGTTTGTTACCAAACTGCTTGACATTGTCACTTACAATGGCATGAGGTATTCCGAAATGGAAAACTAGACTCTTCCATATTAATTATTTTATTTTCTAGTCTGTTATCCTAGCTAAAGCCTCGGCCTTGGCCCATTTAGTAAAATAGTCAATAGCTATCACTACAAACTTGAACTAGCCCTAACTCACAGGGAGGGGATCTAGGATGTCGATCCTCCACATGGAGAAAGGTCATGGGCTCTGAATGGTGGTGAGCTCTTTGGGCGACTGTCTGGGTACGGTCACGAAGCGTTGGCACTTGTCACATCACCTGAAAAACTTGCGGGTGTCTCTAATCATGGTAGGCTAGTAATAGCCTTGCCTAACTACTTTGTGGGCTAGTGCTCGCCCTCTTGAGTGATTTTTATATATTCTCCCATGGATTTCCCTCATTGCGTAATTGGCTTCCTCAGAGGTGAGATAGCGAAGTAGCGGTAGGAAATAACTTTTCTTGTAGAGGGCATTTTGCAGGATGACATACCTGGATGCTCTCATTCTTAACTTTTTGGCTTTCATTAGGTTGTTTGGGATAGCGCCCTCCTCTAGGTAAGCTCGGATGGGAGTCATCCAGTTGGCTTCCGAGGATACACAATTGACATCGTTCTCCTCTGTCTTGGAGGTGCTTGGTTCGAACTGGTGGCCTATTAGTGCCGGTCCCATGAGTATGTTGGCAGATACGAATCTTGCAAGGGCTTCTATCATGGTGTTCTCCTCTCAAGGCACATGGTGGATTTAGAAGCAAGTAAATTTTTTTAACAAGGTTTGGACCACTCAGAGATACTCTTCATTCTTTTCTCCTTTGTTTTAACGTTTCCCTTTACCTGGTTAATTATAAGCTGGGAGATACTGTACACTGTTAGGCAGAGGGCCTCCATTTCCAACGCAAGCTCCAAGCCTGATATGAGGGCCTCATATTCAGCATGATTATTTGATGTAGCAAAGTGGAGGGAGACAACATACTTCAGTGAAGTGTCATGGGGGCTAATTAGCATTAGCCTCGCGCCACCACCCTCACTAATGGAAGATCCATCCACATAATGTCTCCAACATGGTAAAATAGACTGTAGGAGTGGCGCCAGCTCTACGGGCAACATTGTCTGTAACAAGGGGAGTCGTGATGGCACTGAAGAGCCAAGTGGCAGCGGGCTACTGAGCGGCGCCTGGGGAGAGAGGAAAATGGGAGGTAGCCTTGGGGCACAGGCGATGCCTTGGGCAGCACAGGCGATGCCTTGGGCTGCGTAGGCTGTGGAGTTGTTTTCGAGACATCAGGTCCTCTCAGGGTAGTGTCTTGGATAGCCTCATGGTGGGTGAAGGCAATGTGTATTGAGTAGGCGGGCACAGGGGTGCCTGATACTTTCTCCCGGGACTCCTGTGACAACGTAGGCTCAGCCACGAAGTCTGCAAGTACTTGTACTTTGATGGTAACCCTCGACTGGTACTGCACGTTGAACTCACTTAACTTGACAACCCACTTGAGTAGTCGACCGAACACATCAGATTTTTCTCAGAATTCTGTTGAGTGGTTGATCTGTAACAACCATGATGGTGTGGCTCTGAAAGTAGTGGCTCAGACGTCTGACGATAGTGACAAGTGCGAGAGTCAACTTTTCAAGATCTGAGTACCTTACTTTTGTCCCTCGATATGCCCTACTTACATAACACATGGGCTTTTGGATGCCTCCACCCTCCCTGATGAGGACAAATCTCATGGCAAAGGTGAAGAGGAGAGGTAAAGATACAGTGTCTCTTCTAGTACAACATGGAAGAGCAAATGTGGTGTAATGAGGTAGGCCTTGAGCTTCTAGAAAGCCTCCTCTGCATTTGGTCCCCATTGGAAAGACCTACGAAGGATTTTAAAGAAAGGTCATTGCTTATATGTTGATTTAAAGACAAACCTGTTAAGAGCTGCTATTTTTTCATTAAGGCGCTAGACCTCCTTTGTTGAGGCTGGGGACTTTTATCTTCAAAATGGCTCTGATCTTGTCTGGGTTGGCCTCAATACCCATTTTGCTGACCATGAAGCCTAAGGATTTTCCTGAATTGACGCCAAATGCGCACTTTTTAGGATTCAGCTTTATTATGTAGGCCATCAGTACAATAAAGGTTTCTTGGAGGTGTGTCACATGGTCCACCACAACCATACTCTTTACCAACATATCGTCTACGTAGACCTTCATAGTCTTCCCGATCTGAGTCTCGAACATCTTGTTCACGAGACATTAATATGTGGCTCTAACATTCTTGAGTTCGAAAGACATCACCCTGTAGTAATAGGTGCCCTTCGGGGTGATGAATGAAGTTTTCTCTTGATCTGAAGGGAACATGCTGATTTGATTGTACCCGGAGTAGGCGTCCATAAAACTCAGAAGCTTGTGTCCTGTGGTGACGTTGATAAGAAGATCGATGCGTGGGAGAAAGTAGTTGTCTTTATGACAGGTTTTGTTGAGCTCTATAAAGTCCATGCAGAGGCGCCACTTCTCATTGGCCTTCGTAACTATCACTACATTGGATAGCCAGTGTGGGTAGGCTACCTCTCTTATTGACTCATTTGTCTGCAGTTTATCTACTTCTTTCTGCATGGCATGTCCCTTCTCAGCACTTACATTCCTCAACTTCTGGTGGATAGGCTTATACCTAGGATCAACGTTGAGTCAGTGAAAGGACAATTCGGGGTCGATGCCCTCCAGGTCTTCATGGGACCAGGCAAAGACATTGGTGTTCCACCTGAGGAGAAGCCTATCAAGGAGATTGCCTGCTCCTGGTAGAGTAAAGAGCCGATATAGACTCTCCTCTTTGGAAGGCTATCATCCACACGAGACTCTCCAAACTGATGATGCACAAAACTGTTTTGTGCAAGATCAACAGTTGAGTGTTTTATAAGGTATAATTAATTGACAATAAAAAATAATCAATGGTAATAATATAAATATTAAGTTAATACACAGATATATAGTGGTTCGATTCGAGTGACCTACTCCACTCTGGGAAGCGACAACGGTAGCAAAGAGTCTTTATTGATGGATAAAGTAAGAGAGAAAAAGTTCTGGGAGAGGTGTGCTCTATGAGAGATACAATAGCCATGAGAGAGAACGTGTGTGTAAAGGGATGTAGAGGCAAAGCTCAATGTATAGTGAGATGCTAAGATGTGTTGGGAGATTTCTCTCCATGTGGAGAGAGCTTACAATATATAAGTATGGTGAGACGGTGACATGATTGTGAGGGCACTACTTCTTCGGAGATGATAGTTACAAAAGGTAAGCATAATTAATTCTTGTGTATTCATCTCAATGATCTTTCCCCCATGTGCCCATTTCTTTGTGGACTCCTTGGATCTTGGATTCGGTCGGATTGATAAAATAGGCTTGGGCTGCCTTTTAGCTGACTTGATTTATTAGGTCTGACTCAGTTAGATTTAGGCTCGTCAATACTTACAAAATACATCGCACAAAATCGTCGCTGATAGTAAGTTAATTTTTAAGAGTAATATTATTGAGACCTAATTTACTGACTTAATTTGTTGACCTAATTCACTATGACATTTGAATTGACTGTAAACTCTATCAAACATTAGAATTTTATGTTAATCCAATAGTTTTAACGAAATCACATCATTAAGTCAACAAGAGTAATGTTATTTGGATCTAAAAATCTGACATAATTTATTAACCTAATAATGTGTTTTCATTGAAATCATTAGATTAACACTAAATTTTAATATTTAATAGAGTTCACAATTAATTTTAAAATTATTGTGAATTAAATCAACAATTTAAGTCCACTAACATTCCTCTAATTATAATTAGAATTGTCACGACTTTTCAATTTCACGGGCCACCTGACAGGACTGATTGTCTTTTGGGTTTTTTGGAAAACATTATACTTATTTGGCAATTCTCCAATGAACCTCCATGGTTTTGGCTTTACAAATGGGGGGAAAACAAAGAAGAATTGAGTAAAGCAACGAAGTTGCAGGGAGGGCAAAGAGGAAAGCGTTGATTCATTCTACGCCGATTCAATGGAGCCTCCGAAGGAATCGGTAGCTCAGCGTTACAAATTCGTTTGGCGTTTTCTTCTCATTTCTAATCTTGCTCTTGGTGGTCAGTACCCTCTCTCTCTCTCTCTCTCTCTTGCATAGACTTTTTTTGGTAGTTGAATTGAAACCCTAGAGATTTCAATTCAATGTTTGAAACTGTATGCGTGGTGATCGGATTTAGTCACAGTCATTGCAACTTAGAGATCCTTTGAAGCCCCCCGGCCGGGGGGGGATCCAGGGAAGTTTAATAAGGGAGAACAGAAACTTTAAAATAATGGCGAAACTTTGCATATATACTGTATTCGCTAAAAGATTTTCACTGATGCATAAAGGAAATCAACCTTTCCATTACTTTATAGAGTGCAAGTGTGCTTCTTGGTTGTCTTGTTTATTTTGGTTCTTTTTTTTTTTGGCTGGATTTAGAGATAATTGATACAATAAAGTAAAAAAGTTATTGGAGATAGTAAAGGGGTTATTGATCTGCTGAGGAATCTTCAGCCTAGTTATGAGAATTGTAATTGGGCTGATTGATTTTCCTATAAAACTTGTTGCTGCCGACAAACCAAAGATACTTCTCACCAAACAGGGGAGATGCCTTCTTTCAGTAGGGGTGTTAATCGAGCTAATCATTGCAAGTGTCGAGCTCGTTTTTCTAAATCGGCCTAAAAAATTATTCAACCTCAGCTTGTTTAGAACTTGAGCTCGGGCCGAACCCGAGTAGCTCGACTATTTTACATATAAACGAATTGAGTTTTGCTTACTTGAGCCAAGCTTAGCGAACTTAAAAAATTGTTCAAGCTGAGCTCGTTTAGAACACGAGTCGTGCCTGAATAGTTTGTCTCAATTAACACCCTCATCCGTCAACCCTCCAATTTGTTGGAACCCTTGCACAAATTCGACAACTAAGAAACTGCTAAATGAGCATCGGGTTGATACTAGGGCTTTGCTAATTGAGAGCATGGCAAATGTCAACACTAGATGCCTTAATTTAATGTTTGTTAGAAACCCAAGAAATGGGTTACTTAAGAAGTTAAAATTACTAGTTGATGTTTTCGTTGTTGCTCCGCCTTGCATTTCCTAATTGGAACCTCTTTCCTACTTGAACCTAATTATTGCATTTTGGGCTTGCTGATTGTTAGTGCTGCCTGTTTGTTGTGTTTAGTGTCTATTTGTTATTCAGTCAGTCTCAACCCTAGATAAAGGAGGAGAGTGGTGTTAAATAGTTTGACGGCCAACCTAATACTTGTCCGCTGTTTAAAAAAAAATAAAAAAAAACTTGAAACTTGTCTGATCCAATATGATAATTTTTCGCACTATCGTTATAGTCTGACGCAATGGGTATCAACTATCTATTTCTTCGGCAAAGGCCTGACATCTATTTATTTTATCTCTTCCATGTTATGATGCCAAAATCCTGGGAGTAAAAACATCTATACTGAACCCTGGATTGATGTGGAAAGCCGGCTTTAGGAAAACTGAAAGAGATGAGCTGATTTGTACATCTTTTTGCTAGTATTATTAACGTTGTTGGCTAAAAACCATTCCTTGTTTCAATTAAAACTAGTTAGAAAATTGACTGAAATTATCTTTTGAGAACATATTAAGGAAAGCCTTGTACATAATCTTTTGACAGACAGCCTCAGCCAATTTTGGAATCATCAGGGCTTAAGTTGCCAACTTCTATGTTTTGCAGCGTATATGTTTGCCAGGGCAAGAAAGAAAGATACAAGTGTAGTAGAGGAAACCAAAGCCGCAGCCAAAGTTCCCTCTTCTCCCATCACGACTGTAGCACCTCCAACTCCTGACGAACCTGTTTTCTCACCTCCCATCACAGAGCCAGTGAAGGCGCTGCAGCCCATCCCTGAAGATGAGCAACGCGAACTTTTCAAGTGGATATTGGAAGAAAAGAGAAAGATCAATCCCAAGGATCCTGGAGAGAAGAGGCGTATTGATGAAGAGAAAAGGATTCTGAAACAATTTATTCGTGCAGAGTCCATCCCAAAACTCTGATAACTTCTCCTCTGTTCTTTAATGACAAATTATCCTCTTACAAAAAGAGTACTGGGGTAGGCTCTATCCTGCTGGTGCTTCCCTATGAATTAGGATACCACATCTGGTATACGTCAGCGTCGTCCCTTGCTCCTTACTCCTTACCCTTACTCCACATAGGAACCAGATTTGCATGTCTATAGCTGACATTTTTGGCTATTACCTCAAATTAGGAAAAAGGAGGGAGGAAAATGCTCCTCTGAAGAAGGAAATCACTGTAAGTTGATATCAATGGATTTGACATTTGGTGAAATTAACTTCATTGCTTTCTTTTTTCAGTGGGTTTGTGTCAACGGCATATTTGGAACTCACAGATGTGCCATGGTGAAAATAACTGTGGTCACCTGCGGCTGTGCTTAATCAAAGTGATATACCACTTTTTAGAGTGTTTGGTTCTTAGTGTTGTCGTTCTTTACAGCCTCTCCTTCCGGAGGAGCACAAACCTTTTGAAATTATATGTTCTATGCCTATGAACATGAATATTTTAATCCCAGCGTGGATGACATGCCTTTAATCAGACGAAAAAGAAATTTGTTGGGATACATGTACATTAGTCTGAATACTAAAAAAAGAATGGAGTAATTTGGGTTGGCAGTGCTTTGTATCAGGTTTTATGCCGTTGGTGGTGTGTGGTAACATCAGCCAACATCAATTGACGTGGGTTGAGTGAGCGATAGAACAACGGATTGGGTGTGAAGCCGTACTTCTTAAGTTCGAGTTCTTATGGCCATAGAAAACCAGGTTTAATTGATGTGTGACTGATATGGTGTGTTGATGCCATGAGTCTAAAAAATGCATGAAGGGTGATTCTCCATTATCAAACCATTTCAACCGACATCTATAGACCCGTGCATATGAGCCGTAGATGTCCATTGTTCACTGAATGGGGAGGGAGACTCGTTAACCCGTCTCCAGACTCCTTGTTCCAATATACCATGCTAGTGGTACGGTGGAGTGGAATACTGATGGCTTTTATCCTTAGATTAGCAAATACAAGTGTAGGTGCATTAGTTAACCTTACCCTATTTAAGAATTCTTCGATAAAAATTTAGCAGTCGCCATTGAATTTAAAGTCTTGGGTCTAATCCCAGATCAGACCACAACCCACAAATGGATGTAATTGACACAACAAAGAGTAGCAAATCGTCTGATTTTTACCCACTTTCTAGATTTATTGTACTAAACTTTTCAACATTTTCCTTAAAGAGTCGGAACAGAGTAGTCAAGAATGAGACAAAATAGAAATTTTGCTTTCAAGCATTAGAGGTGGTTAATAAATATTTGAAGATTGATGGACCCCATCATAAAAGCCTTTCCCTCTCTAAAGTCCAATCACATACACATTCTGTCATTTAACCTAAATTTCTAAATTTTCTCAGGAAAACCCAAACTCCGCAGAGAACAGAATGTATACCTATCAAAACTTCACATTAAATTGCCCAGAGTAAATCAAGTTGGAATTAGCTATAGAACTCGAAGTCACTCAGGGGCCTTTCTCTTTTGGTTAACTTCATCCATTACAAAGCTCTATATCAAATGCCAGGAACCATCCGAGTTTCAGGTACTGAAAGCTTCTCTCCAACTTTTTTTAGCTCTTCCTCAAAATAACTCCTTTGTTTTAATTTTCCCACTATTTTTCATTCATTATAGTTCTGGAATTCGATGGTCTTTCATCTTCATCACCCCCTTCTTCACTATCCATAAAGGGTAAGCACTCCATCACCTCTCTCTCTCTCTCTCTCTCACACACACACACACTGTATGTGTATGTATGCCCCTTTATTACAAAATATGTAATTTGTCTACCTATGTTATTTGTATTCTAATGGGGTTTATATATGTACAATGCACAGTTTCTATGGGGAAAAGAGAGTATCAAACTTGGGACAAGGGGGACTTCTCTTTGTAAAGATTCTCTGACCATCATCTTAGTTTCAGACTCTCTACTATATAAGTTTACATCCTCAAATTGTGTGTCTTGAATTCCAAATTCTGATGATCTTGTGCAGCCCATTGACTACCCTCCGTGACAATCTAATTGTTACACTTCAGGATGCTGAGGGAAATGATATATCTCATACAGGTGTATGATAGTTTGTTCCAATTGAGATCATCAATGCTGTTGGTTTCCATTCTACAAAGGAGGCTGATAAAAATGACATTATTTTTGCCAGGTGTTCAGACCATGTCAGTAGTCCAAAAGGGAATGTGGGATGATATATTCCTGCTTGAAGGAGGGGGGCATGTTCATATGAAGTTACAGTTCATTCTCAGTGAAGAAGAGCGCAACCGCGTTCGTGTTATGGTACAATTTACCATTATTATTTACCACTAGTTTACCTAATTGATACCCACTACACATGGACTTGGTTTTGTGAAAGAATGAAGAACTTTTTTTTTTTTTGGGGGAGAGGGAGGGGGACTAGAACCCTTGACCTCAAGAAGGTAAAAAGAATGAAGAACTAAGTTGCATATTTAAGGTGTAACCCTCAAAAGAGTCGGTCACCCAGATGTGCTTATATGTTTCTGAGGCAGCTAAGTAGTTCCCAAAAATTTCTACTTTAAAAACCAGTTGTGTCTATATGTATATAGTTGCCATCCTGACAGGATACTTTGGGCTACAGGTACAGCTGCTCTGTTGAATTGATGAACTGATTTTTTTGCCCTATTATAACTCTAGACCTCAGATTTTTTTCATTTGTTAGTCTTGGTGTCTGTTTTGTAGTTATAGAGAACTTAGTTTTCTTTCTTATCAATTATTGGTTAGAGAGAATCTGCAATGAAGAAGAAACAAGGCAAGACTCTCAATACAAATCTTAAATCTTCTGAAACGAGTACCTCAGTTGGTGGTTCTGTTGCATCGTCTTTGAGTATCAACCAGGATATCTCAGGTTTGATCTTGCTTTATAAATAAGAATAAAATAGAAAGCATATAAGCAAAAAGAAAAATAAATGAAAAAATTAAGGCACAAGTCATAGATATCAACCTGATCTTGCAATGCACCTTTTCTGAAAGGCTTTTTCTTGATGTTCTGAGTGCTGCATCTTACTCAAGATTCACAAACAAGCGTTGTTCCTGCTGAAGCGGTGAACATTGGAGATGTGACTATGCAAGCTGGTCCATTATCACAACTTGATAATCAAACAACCCCAGTTAAGAATAAATCACATTGCTTACTAAACAATTGTTAAATTAAAAGTCGGTTCAAATTTATTTGTTGAATGTTTTTAACAGTTGATCCATCTTTTAGAGTGCTGCTGATAGAAGTGAAGTGACTTTATATGCTCCTGTGCTACAAGAAGTTGAAGAAAACCTAACTGAATTTCATCAGAGGGCATTAGTTGAAAAGCTTGAGACTCACTTACCACATGCTGATCTTTCCACAATTCCCCTATTTGGACAAGGAGCTTCAACCATGTTGGAGTGCTCTGAGTCAGATGTTGCTGCAAGCACTAAACCAGTTTCCCCCAAGCTGGATGATGATCTGGCCAATAAAACTGAGAAGCAGGGTCCACTAGAGAAAACTCCGAGCAATGTAAGGAAAATGATAAGTGCATTTGAAAGTAGTGTATCTCAGGTATTTATTATGTTATATGCTTGAAAGGTATTTTTCAAGAATTTTTCCTTTGGTTTTGCTTTCCATATAAGATTCAACGATGTGTATTGCTAGCAGGACATAAGCCTTCCTACTAAACTACACGTATCAACATCCCCATTGAAAAGAGTTGGAATTGAAGATCCTTCGAGGGATCAGGATTTGAAGCATACTACTAAACTGGCAGAGACGAGTTCAGGAAGGCTTAAGTATCCTTCTCTTACCGGGAACTTGCAACCAATACAAGCAAATGTCAATGAAAGAGGAGAGCATATTGGTTTTGATAAAGACTTAGTTGGGATGAAATCAACTCAGGCTACTGGACAGTCAAAAGCGTCAATTGCAACAAACATCCAATCAGAAGGAGTAGGTTCAAGTATAAAGAATTCATTCCAAGCAGCTCATAAAAAATTACCTACACAGGAACCTGTGAAATCACCTGAAGATTTGATGAGAGCATCTATTTCTGAAATAGCTACTGTTTCGGGAAGAATGCACAAGGAGCTTTCAGGTATTGTCCAGCCTCAAAATAGGTCTGCTAAGCAGGGAGATCCTATTGGCACTTCAGTTCTAGAGGGGGGAGAGATGGGAATTGGCTCAAAGAATTTACATGAGATTAGTATTGAAGGACCCTCAAATGAGAAACTGAAATCAGTAGCATTCTGTGAACAAGAGCATTCTTTACTACAAACTTCCGGTATGTGGATATTACCAGATAAAACAAGACATTTGTGCATAACAACTGCGAGTAAAAAAGTAAGGAATTTATTAGGAGATTGCCCAATTAAAGCAAGTTCCCATCAAGGAAAGAAGAGTTTTTCAGTACCAGAAAACATGCAAAAGGTATTTAAATTTTCTTCTTGACTTAGATTGTGTGGAATTGCATTGTTTAAGGTGTTTCTGCATGGGACTACAAGAAATCGTGTGAATGGCAGCTTTAGATTCATCATCATGATCATCATTCTCTATCAACAATTGGAACCTTGTGCCCTAGGAGATGTGTTTAGCCATTCAGTAGTCTAAACAAACTTGATTAATGGCTATTCTGCATCATGCGGTCCAATTTTCTTCTACTTAAAAAAGTTCTCAGTTTGTTTTAATATTAATAATTTCAGCGTACTGTAACTGATGATGAAATGAAGAAAAGTGAGAAGAAATCTAACAAGGTGAGGAAATCAAGGCCTGAGAGCTCAGCAGATGATGCTTCTACTGGACTAGTTGGACAGGTTACATCATATCCTTTTTCATCCGTCCCATTAACTTAGTTATCCATTTTCTTTGCAAAATATTTCTGATTCATGAAGTTGGACAATATTTCTATTGTTTGTGTACATGCATTTGTGCATGTGCTTCCACGCATCCATGTTAGCCTCTTAGATATGTACGTGCCAGAATGCTACAGTCTGTTGTCACTTCGGTTCATAAAATCAGTGTAAACCAATGAATAATACTCCAAAACTGATAATCACAAATTAGAAAAATCAAATTTCATCTGAGATCCATCAGCACACATAACATTGTAGAAGTGTTGATGCTTGAATCATTAATATACTTGCATTATTGTTTTCTCGACCTCAGGAAAAGAAACGTAAATGAATCATCAGTTGAAGGAGAAGCAGCAACAGCAGCCAAACAGCTGTTAATTATTATTTTCTTTCCTTCTCAGGCAATAAAGATGGCAATCATCATAGGCTTTGGAGTTCTTGTTCTCCTAACTAGACAAAGAGAACCCAGGTAGGTGTACCATTGCCATTCAAGATCCAAACATTTCATTAGCATTAATGTTCATGTGAGTCTAAGTACCACTTGCATCTTCAAACCTCAAAACAGAGTAACTTCATTTGTGAACTAATCAAAAAACTAATTTTATCCCTTGTCATCAATAATTAAGGATCTTTTGCTAGAAAAATAAAGCCCTGCAATAACATATAAACTGCTGGGACAATGAATACCTTACGAAGAAAAAGCAGAATCAACCTGGTTTATAAGTTACAAACAAGGGCAGATATAAAGCACAATCTTCATAACTGGGCTAAAAACATTGATCTGGCAAAACCTGAAACATTTGTGGACTGTTACACTGTAAAAAGCACTCCTCATTTTGAAAACCATACTGTCGATATACTTTTTGTTTTTAAGTAAAATTATAGTGGTGCCCATTTTTGTTCTTTCTCACTTCTTTTTAACTGGAAATTTCGTTGAACAGAAAAAGCAACTCAAAGAAAGCGAATGATATTTACTTCGCCACTGAAGAGTCCTTATTACAACCGTCATCGACTGAGGAGGGAAAGGACTGAGAGGAGAGGAAGATTTGATATGCTAAAATTGGTTTATAGACTGAAGTCATCGACTGAGGATGTGAAAACCTTAGCGGATTAATGGCTGCTATATTTAGACATACGTTTGCCTGCATTTCCTCTTTCTCAGATCTCGGATAAAATTTGCTGGTGTTGGATTCACAGCCATCATCCTGAGGGGTGAGAACAGTTTGAATCCCCCTTTTATTGTACATTTTTTGATTCTTTGTCAATACATGCAATAAAATGTGGACAAAAAGGCCTTTTGGTCAGTCAATCTGATCCTTGTATAATGTTCATAGTTGTTGATGCAAATGCTTAGTGTCAATCTTAAAAACTAATTTCCAGATTGTATATGGTCTGGAGAAACTGCGAAGAAGAGACTGATTTACCATAGGATTGTTGAGCAATTTGGCATTGACATTATTGACGCCATGTTTAGGAGGCAGAAAATTACAGTAACCAAATACTATTTGGACTTATTTTTGTTTAATTCATCACAATCATTTGAATGACAGCGCGTTGTAACAACTGTGGCTTATTGTCAATCCAATGATTATGAATGATTAAATCAACAAATTATGTCTAAGTAATATTAATCTATTTCGACTTATTTTTTTCTCCATTTCCGTCATTGATAGATGACCAACTATGATTCAAGTTGAAGTGACTATCTATGAATTTTTAATTTATAAAAACACAACAATCATTAATATTGATTCAATTCTCAAATATTTTAATTTAGTGACGTAAAATTTACTCAATTTTTTTTCATTCAAAAATATCATCTTATCTACACTGTCTCCTATGTTAGTCAACTCAATCAACATACTCGCTAATATCAAACAACTTCACTAATTCACATTTTTCTCTCCCTCATGTATCTTTATTTTATTTTCTCTCCGCTCACTTTAATTTTAAATTACATAATTAAAAAAATATAAATAAATTATTATTTAAAATATAAATATTATACGATCAATATTTAAATTTTAATATTTCAAAATATCGTTAGACATGAGATTATCACTACTATATATATGGGTCCTTCATTACTACGTAGAACATTTCTTAGTACTTAATAGTAATGCGGCAAGTTATGGAGAGTAATGGCCTGTTTGATAGGAGGGAAAATAGGATGGATGGAAATGGTGAGTGGAAAGTAGGATGGAAAATATAATTTTTCTTTGCTTGGTTAAAAGGGAAAGATGGAGGGAAAGGAAATCCATCCCGCCCCCATTTTTAATCCCTCCATTTTTGGGCGGACAGTGGCAGACAAGTTGGTCATGATGGGTCCCATAACTTTTATGTAATACTTAATTGCCATTTACTCCAAAGAATTTATCTCTCTCAATAAATAATTCATATTTTATTAAGGGTATTTTTGATATTTCACAAGTAATAATATGTTATTATTTTTTTCATATCAAATAAAATAATAAAAAATTTATTCCTTCCACTTTTCCATCCTTCTTGCCAAACACAAAATATGGAAAACCTCTTTCCATCCTTCAAGAATGAAAAATCTATCTCTCCTATTTTTTCATCCTTTCAACATTTCATCCCTCCTACCAAACGGACCATAAAACTATAAAGCAATTTGTGGGCTTACGTATTTATCTGGAAGGTTGATTCCATCGTCACTCTTTGATTAGTCAAAAATCTAATAGCCCATCCTAAATGGGCTTAGGCCCAAAAACTAGGTTGGCCAAGCCTGACGATGCAGTTACCCGACCCTTACCTGCAGTCAAATGAACATCGGCATCAGTCCAATGTTTGATTTGGGCTTGGGCTCAAACTCTCTTGATAATAGCATCACCCTGGGCCTTAATTTACTCCCACCCGACCCATCTAGTCGTGCCCTAATTCACCTTCCAGTAGGATCAAATGGAGCACTATATAGCCCTAAAAACCCCCAAAAGGGCCAAAACCGTTCTCCTCCAACCTCAGCTTCACCTTCTTCTTCCCCGTCAAACTCAAGCCCCCAACTCTACCCACACTCACATGGCTCGAAGCATTAAAAACCCCAAAAAGGCCAAACGAAAAAGCAAGGTTTGATCTTTTTCTCTTTCCCTCCAATTTTTTGACAGTAAATTTGTTATGCCGTCGTCAAACTGGTTAATTAGGGTTTAATTCTTGTATCTCTCATGCATAGAACTCAAAGAAAGGAGAAGGGTCTTCTTCGTCGTCGAATTCAATACCGTGGTACCGACGAAAGTATGGCAACCAGGGTTAGACAAGCTTGAGGATGGAGAAGAGCTTCAGTGTGACCCATCTGCTTATAATTCTCTCCACGCCTTCAACATTGGCTGGCCCTGCTTGAGGTCTCATAAATTAGTCATATGTACTTTTTTTTTTCTTTTTTACTGAAACAACTGAGGAGATAAGAAAAATCAGCTTTGATGTAATTGAATTTTTATAGTAATTATGTAATTGATTTTTTTCCATTAAATTTCACAGCTTTGATGTGGTGCGGGATTCATTGGGTTTGGTTCGGACGGAGTTTCCGCACACCGTTTTTTGCATTGCAGGGACTCAGGTGAGCTTTTATTAGATTTTTGTTTGTTTTTCTTTGCCCTTGGTGAATTGTAAGGGAGAAGTTTCTCGATTTTTGTTTTGGGACTTCCTACATTGAAATGAGTTTTATTGGCCTCAAAGCTGCATAATTATGATGGTTTTAAGAATGTAGAGTTTTCTAATCTATGCTTGAAAGCTACCATTTTTTTCCAGGTTGCTAAATGATAAGGGAAAGCAATCATGTCGGTCTGATACTATAAACTAGGACTTTGATAATTAGTGTTTGTAAATTTTACCCCATTTCAAATTTGTTCCAAATGTCCGAACTTTTGTCCAATTTCGAAATGGGCTTAATATTAATCCTTTTAAATCTACATATAACCGAATTTGGTATTTTTTGGTAAAAGCAGAAATGAAATTCTGCCTTTTTTGGGTTAATTTGTGACTGAATCAAGCATCCCTGTTTAATGTTACCCTAGTTGCTGATAATAAATAGTAAGTGAAATAGCTGCCTACTCAATGGAGAATTAATAATTGTACTCCTTCATGAGGGTACCTTATAATGTTCAGTTCAACACCACCATATAATGTTTTCAAGAACTATGCTTGTGATCATCTTTTTAGAAATCTAAATTATAATCTTGGTCTATTGATATTAACTTTACATGGTAGCTTTGTGCTGCCCAGTTGCTATCTTCTCTATGGTTTCTCCAAGCATGTATGTCGTCTGGTGCAGAAGATCTTTGTGATTTTCTTTTTGGAGTAAACATTTTTTGCTGATAACTTGATGTGAAAATTTTATGATGGCAGGCAGAAAAAGCTTCCTGGAACTCTATTGGAATATTTAAGTTATCTAACGTTTCGGGGAAAAGACGTGAACTAGTGCCAACTAAAACCACTGCTGATGCTGATGGCTCTGATATGGAGAGCGATAGTAGTGATAGTGATGAAGATGATGAAGAGGAGGGAGTGTCTGGGGCTTCAGTTTTGAAGGCAATACATTGTTTCTTGTGAATTTTACATAATTTTGCAACATTGCAAATACTTCTGACACATTTATATTGAGGATATATTTCCTCTACCTGATTATTTGCATTCTTTTACAGTTGCACAAGGTGTATCATGAAGGATCCGTAAATCGTATACGCGCCATGACACAAAACCCCCATATATGTGCATCATGGGCAGATACTGGTCATGTGCAGGTCAGGCTCATTCCATTGTAAATTTGATGAAGTGTAACCAAACCTTGGACTTAATTGTTTAAGTGTATAGGATGTGCATCGGCTTCAACATTTCATAGGGGACATTAGGAATGATAGCTGTTAGTGTAATGAATGTTGGTTCCATCGTGGGCTAGCTTAGCTGTCTCAGATTATTGTGAGATGGTTATGCATACCAATTGACTTAAACCATAACTGTAATGACTAACTGTTATGGATGGCAGATTGATTTTAAAATCACGAATTCTGTTTTTATGGGTTTCACTTACTAATGGACAACCAGATGTATGTTGTCTGCATGCACTCTATGGAATATGACGTGTCTTTAGAGCCTCTGGTTATTGAGCTTTCTTATCAATCCAAAATCATGTTTTTCTGGTTTCACAATGTTGTATGTTTGAATAGATAGTGCTATTGATTGGATGCAACATAGAATAAAGCCTTGAAATTCATTTCATATGTGCATCAAATTAATTCTAACTATACGGCAATATGTATGGCTGAGAAAGCATATGGGCATACATCAAGGATGAGCCTAAAATAGAGAATAATTTTTAAGAATGTTACAATTTAATAAGAGGTTTAGTTGCACCGGTTGTCTCCAAAGTTGCATTTTATCTCATTTTAATCCCCAATATTTCAATTGCATCAGTTTAGTAACTAGAGTATTAAATATGTTTTTATGTAGTTTTTCAAGCAGATGACATCTAAATTGCAAATGGTTTTTGATCACGAACTTGGCACGTGATAACTAAATAAGGTTAAAAAAGTAAATTGGCCAATCAACAAAACTCAAACCCATTCAAATAGTCCTTCACCGTATTTCCCTTCTTCTTCATCGGCCTCTGTCTTCCTTCCCTATTCGACCGGTGATACCCTCTCCCTCACCCTTGGTTCGACAGCCCTCTCCACCACCCCCAACCTGCAATACCTGTCTTCTCTTTCCCTCCTCACCGCAACCCACAAAACTCCCTCCCTCACTATGTCCCATAGCATTTCAAACTCCATGAAACTGACCACCACCACTGCCCTAACAAAGCCACTATATTCTCTAACCCATCTTGTGCCAAACTTAACTAATTAAGTAAATGTTCACAATTAAAGATTTTGAAAAAACACCAAACTACCCACTACGGCCAAGTGCCCACAATCAAGTGCACCGGCGCCATCACTTCTAATTCTTCAAGGAATCATAACTCCATGCATAGCTTCTGGTTGTACATTTCATGAATTGGGTTTAGCTTTAGTGGCAATGGTTGTTTGACGAGGGCAGTGGTGGTGGTTGGTTTCCATGGGTGAAGAAAATGGCGTTTAAGGAAGTTGGGTAGGGACAAGGTGCAACGATAGAGATAGAGGAAGGAGTAAAAGGAGTGAGTGGTTATGGGAGGAAGGAGGATGTGTGGCATTGGGAGTGATGAGACACTATCGATGGGGATAGGTGGAGGGAAATTGAGTAGAGAAAGAGAGAGGGAGAGAGAGAAGTGGGGAAGGAGGAGGTAAAAAAATGAATATGAGAATTTTTTTCCCATTGACTGATTTACTTTTTTGCCCTTATGTATCATTTGATAAACTTGTGATAAAAAATCGTTAGTAATTTGGATGTTGTCTGCATAAGGGACCACGTAAAAACAAATTCAATACTTCAAGGACTAAAATAATGTCATCAAAATATTGGGGACCAAAATGGGACAAAACACATCCTTTGAGGACCTTTGGCACCATTAGCCCTTAATAAGTTTTAAGCTGTTGTCTAACTACGATAGCCATTCTACAGATTTGAACAGGAATAAATCTCTGTTTAGAATTTGTGGAGAGTATATCATAAAACTGCTTAGAAGATATTTTGAGTTTCCAAATGCGTGTTCTAATTTGATACATTTGATGCCTTTGTAGGTATGGGATTTCAGCTCTCATTTAAATGCTTTGGCAGAATCAGAGAACGAAGTTAGCCGAGGAGCTTCCACAGTTTCTAATCAAGCTCCTTTAGTCAAGTTTGGTGGGCACAAAGATGAAGGTTATGCTATAGATTGGAGTCCTATTGTCCCTGGAAGACTTGTGTCTGGTACTTCTTGATGATATAATTCATTTTCTTGAGCATATTACTTAGTTCAGTGGTCTCTAATGATTGCTATTTGTTAACAACTTCCTAATGCTTTATGCTGCCATTCATCTGAAAAGGGGACTGCAAGAATTGTATCCATCTGTGGGAACCAACATCTGGTGCAACATGGAATGTTGAAACTACTCCATTCATTGGGCATTCTGCAAGTGTTGAAGATTTACAAGTAAGCATCAAACTTGTGAGCAGTAGTTGAACATTTTCAACTCTCATCCGTGAAGGCAAAAATCATAATTATGATGTGTACCCCTTCTTTTCGATTGTCTAATCGTTCAAGCATTCCTGTTATAATGTTTATCTATGCAGTGGAGCCCAACAGAGCCTTATGTATTTGCTTCTTGCTCTGTTGATGGGAATATTGCAATTTGGGATACCCGCTTGGGGAAGTCTCCTGCGGCGTCTATAAAGGCACACAATGCAGATGTTAATGTTATCTCATGGAACAGGTGTTTACATAATTCTATACCAAGTCATCTTTTCATCTTGGATGTAACTTGAGTATTTCTACTTAATACTTCCTTGGTTTTGATTAGGCTGGCAAGCTGTATGCTGGCATCTGGAAGTGACGATGGGACATTTTCTATTCGTGATCTTAGATTGCTCAAGGTATGCCTCATGTTGTAGTACATCTGTAGATAGAAATAGTAAAATGTTGTGCAAATAGGACATGACCCTCCATTTTGAAACATGAGGAGCCTTTTCCACTATTTTTTTTGGTACTTCTTGGTCTAAGTGGTGTTTTATATTTTGTATTTGTTATGTTTTTAATTGTGTTTTGTTGTGTTTTTAATTGTGTTCCTCTCTCATTAGTGTGTTCCATATGATTGTTGGAGGTTTTGTTGGTACATTCTGGAAAACCTGGCCAGGTTGATTTATTTTTTAGTTTATACTCTGTTATCTTTGATAACCTTTGTGTTTTGCTTTTTCTGTCGTCTTTTTCCTTAATGACTGACATTGAAGTTTATAATCGGCAATATCTAGATTATAAGGAACTGTGGCTGTAATATTGAGTTTTTTTACTTGATGCCATTGTTGTCGTGTAAAATTTTTTATCTAATCTTGTTCCAAATCATCAGGAAGGAGACTCTGTAGTGGCACATTTTGAGTACCACAAACACCCTATTACATCCATTGAATGGAGCCCACATGAAGCCTCCACCTTGGCAGTTTCATCATCCGACAATCAACTAACGTAAGAGTCTGTAAGACAACCATATAAAGTTAGCTGAAAGTGATGGATGCAACACCTGACAGAAGTTTTTAATATCTTTATGCTGTATATGTGTGTGTGTTTGTATGTGGTGCGCATGCACATGCGTGTGTGTATTTTTGCGAGGGAATATCTTGACATCTGGTTGTGATTGTCAGAATATGGGACCTTTCTTTGGAAAGAGACGAGGAAGAGGAGGCTGAGTTCAAAGCTAAAACAAGAGAACAAGTAAATGCCCCTTCAGATTTGCCGCCACAGCTTCTCTTTGTTCATCAGGTTATATCTTTTGACCTTTCTTTTTTTTTCAGTAAGAGTGCATGCAGATATTTTTTTCCTGCTCATTTAGTGAACGTCTCATTTGTTCTTCTAACAGGGTCAGAAAGACTTGAAAGAGCTTCACTGGCACTCACAGATCCCCGGAATGCTCATATCCACTGCTGCAGATGGTTTTAACATCCTGATTCCTTCAAACGTCGAAAGTGCCCTCCCTACAGATGATGCTTGAAGACCGGAATTTGCCAACCTCATACTTCCCGTATGCATGACTACATGTATCCTGCAAGTGTTTTTCAACGGTATTGAGGTGATGGCATGGATCAGATCGACCAGTGCATTCGGTAGCCTTTTAGGAATCTGGGCTTCTTTTGTTTTAATTTTGTTCATGGTTATTGCTATGTGGCGGCAATTTTGTTTTATGATATTTATTTGATTGTTGTTGAGCTCAAGAGTATATAGAGAAGAGGTTACAATGATTTACACCTTGATGTGAATTTTTCATGAATGGCGTTCATATGCTGCCATGAAATCTTATATCTTGGTGGTTGTGAATGCTTTTGTGTTTCGATTCGTGTCTGCTCACTCAAAAGTAGGGATTAAGAGAACGAAAAAAGTTTAGGTGATGTTGCAAAATCACTTTCTTTTCTTGCATAGATATCAAAATTGATGTATTCGAAGTTGATGCATAGAGAGTTGAGCTGATTACAGATTCAAGTTTTGCTTTGTTAAGAATAAGCTATACATATAACCTTCAAATTATGATATTTGTATCATTTAAGTCCTTAAATTTTTTTTCTTTTGTTAATTGAGATCTTTGAACTATCTAATTGAATCCTTTTACCTGCCTTGTCTGAAGAAAATATTCATTACAAGGGTGATATCACGTGATAATGATAGTGTAATACCACTAACCAATAATATTAAAAGAATTACGCAAATAAAGCTCGTTAAAATTAATAATCAACCCTTCATGTAAACAAATGACTATTCATTCATATTCTATGTAAACAAATAATTACCCACTCATCCCCTATATAAGCAAATAAATAGCCCAATAGTGTTTGTTTTGCTAACTCGGTATTTTATTATTAATTGGTAATACTGTGATATCACCGCAATCAATATTTACTCCTCTGTCAGAGTGTGTCACTTACGTGACTATATAACACAAGAAAACAAAGAGCTCATTTGACACAATTAAAAATTCAATAACTCAATCAAAACAATTAGATTTTTTTTTTTAATCACAGCACAATTAGATAGTTCAATAGCTCAATTAACATAAGAAAAAAAATTCAAAAACTTAATTGACACGATAGTCATAATTTAAAGGTCATATATAGTTTACTCAAACCATTTGTGTCACATAAGTGGCGCACTTCATCACCTTTTGAGATTCAATTGACACAAAAAAATCAAAATCTTAATTGACACAATGGTTATAATTTGGGGGTCATATATGTAATTTACTCTAAAAAGTACTTGTAAATATATACATACCTGCAGTAAGTGGTAAGTAGCAATTTTCCTGAGATGGTAGCATTTTTATCTGTAAGTGTAGAACAACTAAACATAGAGGGGGTTTGCAAAAGAGAATATTGGTAGGAACAACCGGCCAATTAATGCAAATTATCATCAATCTGAAATCAACCCATGACAATTTTCGGCCATAGCCAATTCTCATGAGTATTCGCACTTCACGCTTTATCTGCTCCCTTTTCGTTAGAAAGTCTTATTCTTCTTCCGCCGAAAGTGGTGCCGGAGGGGCAGGCTACAGCAAAAGAGTCAGCGGAAGGTTGAGATCGGGAAGTGGTCGGTTCGAAAGTCCGCTAGTTCTCTTCTCAAACTTTTCTTGCATACAACAGTTCTCCTCCAACCGGAGGTTTGCACCCAGCTCAAGCCCATCTGGTAACCCACTCAACACCATATGTTATGTTTACACAATTGGAATAAAAACAAAGTATAACCAAAACAAAAAGGGTGAGTTTACAATGATTGCACAATACATAAATTACCGCGCTTGCAGCTTAGACAAATGGTATGTGCTCTCTATGGATAAGAAAATGACGCAGTGCCATTGTTAGCACACTCTCAATGTCCAACCGCCATTTCCCATATCTATGATTCAGATTGGAGGCCAATGCCGCTAAGGAAAGATAACTCAGATCACGTAAACCCATTTTAACCCTGCCTAGTCCTGTTACATATCATACTTCTCCATAACCTCCCCACCATTTTTATGAACCAACAGGTTTCCCATTTAATTTAGGGAAAGGGTCTTGCTTGCTTAGAACAGCCACTTTACTCTTGTGAGCAAAATATCCTTTCACAAGATTCTTGTATATTAGAATGGACATTATGCACTCGACCTGCAAAAGTGCAGCCAAAAGTTCAGTCCCACAGATGAGGAAGCCAGCTGATACAAGAGAAAGGGAGGCTGCGAACCCACCAGCTCCCCCAAAGCAAAATAGATAAAAACAAGGGAACTGGAGAAAAGAAGTACCTCATCAACATCCATGTCCATCTCAAGCCATTTCAAAGCTTTAACTATAACTTCTAACTTGATCTGGTGCGCTTTATTTGGATCTTTCTGCTTTTGAATAATGTAGCTGCAGATCAGCACGAGATAAATAGTTATGCTGCAAAACATTTCATCCAAATTGGAATATAAATCCATGTAATATGGAAACCTACATTTTCTTCACCAATCTTTGGTAAACTTGGAGCTCTAGCTTCTCTAGAACAAGATAAACACCTGATCTTAAGAACCTGATGAGACAAAGGACTGAGGCTTCAAAGAGATTTCTAATATACTGATCACCCTGGAAACATACTAGTGTAAGTTAAACATACCGGTCTTCATGCTCCCGGAGAGCATGTCGAAGAAGTCGAAGATCACCCCTTTTCAAAGCAAGCACAATATTACTGTACTGGAGAATAAGAATTAGGAAAACAGAAATTACTCAAGACTCCTATAAAAGAATATGCATATGTTAATTTTTCATGATCATTACTAGCAAATCATAATGGCATGGCTAGTCACACTGATTTTTTTATTATATGAAGTCACCCTGAATTATTACTGGGATTTATATCCTGGTTCATACAACTAAGTGATTTACCAAGATTTACTAAAGTCTAACAGACAAGGGAAAAAAATGTCAAGTCTCAAAAGCTGCTATTGTGCAAAATCATTATAACCTTACAATACGTGTTTAAAGACATAACATACCTCAGTTAGGTTATACTTCTCAAGGAGTGAATTTTTGGGTATCATGCCTATTGATAGCTTCACAGGTATGAGATATTTCAGAATCATCCTGTTACAACATACAAAAAACAATATTAACCATGCAATCATAAACAAATACATATCACTAGCAGTCTTATTTTCCGTTCTTATATCAACGAAATCAGACATTAGCTATTGAACCTCAGACAAATATGTATAATTATAAGAGAGATGATTGCCAAAACCATAGGAAAAGATTCGTGTGTATGAAATACCATACTTAACCGGAATCAAATTTTTAAGTCATTCCTGACAATTCTACAGCTGGCAAAGGGATATGAACATGGAATCATACAGAATCATTCTTCAACATCCTCCTCAAAGAAAAACAAATAATCTCACTCTATTGTAGTTGTAAGGATAATGATCTGGCACACTGTTGCAGAAATATCAGTTGTGGAAGAACAAATTGCCTGTAAATTTTACCCAATTTACATCCTATATTCAAATATATAATTGATATAAGCAAAGAAAAGCTTATACTAGTAACTAGATCACAATATATAAAAAGTGAAAAGGAAAAGATGTAATGAAACTACAGCCTCAGAAGAACTACCTTTGGGACCAGTAAACATCTACAAGAAGTTAGTCTGTTGCCATATGTATCACTTCAACAGATCATCACCACGCATTAGCAAAAGCAACTGTAGAACTACGTTTCAGCTGGTATATAAAACAAACCTTATATTAGCTTCGCTGCGAGAGTTGCAATGAGTCAAGGCATACGACAATTTATGATCAGCAGCAGGGAAATTCTCATTGAATACTTCCAGGCGGCCAGTGTAATACATGTAAGTCACCTTATCCCTGATAGGAAACTCCTCAAAATCAAAAATACGAGCAGTTTCAATGCTCCTTATGACACTTCGACATAGGTGAACTGTACCCAGCTTGAAATAAATCTTAAACAACTGGCAAGTCACATATAAAGCTCCGACACGCTTCGGGCCTTTTCCAGCAAGAACCCCAAACACTTTCATGAGAAACGAGCCTGCCCCTTTCAATTTCTCTGGATTTTTCCCAATTGCACCCAATTCTCTATCAGCCTACATTCACAATAATGTAACGTAATCATCTATCTAATATTATAGCTAACAATTTGAATTACTCATTTATAAAAACACAACAACGGTTCAAATCAATCCAATTTCATTTGGTACAAAAGTCAATCCAAAAATATTTTGCTGCTCAAAAATATCATCTTCTTTATACGGTCTCTAATGTTAGACAACTTAACCGCTAGTCTCCAATGCTAGACAACCTCACTAATTCACATCTACTTTTCTCTTTTCTCTTTCCTACCTCTCTCTCTATGCCCACTTTAATGTTAAATAGTGTAAACAAGGAAAGAAAATAAAAAATAAATTATTATTTCAGATATAAATATTGCATCATCAATGTTCAATTTTTGAAATGATATAGTCTGTTTAGACACGGGTAATTGCTAGACCTCGATTATAGTATACATGGTTATATAGAATTCCTCAAACAGGAAACTATATATATATTTCATTCTTACCCTCTCTGCAAGAACCCTAATTTCATAAGCAACCACGTGCAATGCATCCAAAGCCCACGCCGAGTCCCAATTCCGAAATTCCTGAATGAAAGCACTGTAATTTCCGCTATTACTGGTGGATATCTACTTGATCAAACCTCTATCCTCTATAACAACACAAAATAATTTTTTCCAAAATAATCAAAATAGGGGTGAAAATTACTTGGCAGATTTTTCGAATGCCTGGTACGAATCAACCAGGTTCCCAAGTCGATAATTCTGCAAAGCACGAAATAGAGGGACCATAATATCCACATACTGGGAGTACTTCTCAGATTGCATTATCAGTCTATTAGCATCCTGTACCAACAATTCAAAACCCTAATGTTACAAAAAAGTTACAAAATTTACAATAATGGTGAATTTTTCGGGTGCGTATGTATTTATGCGTGTAATAACCTACATACAGACCTGGAAGGTAATGATTGCGTCGGCCAGGGAGAGGAGAGAGGGGATTCGGAGGAGACGGAGAGGAGGCGCGTTAGGGACGCGCCGTCTTGGGACGAAACGGCCTCGGAAAAGCGGTTTAGATATTCGGTGATTCTTCTGTGTGCTTCTCCCATGCTCATATACGCCATTGCTTCTACGAGTCTTCTTCTTCTACTGCTGCAACTCTCGCTCTCTCCTTCTCTCTCTCTCTCCAAAGAATACTCTACAAATGAGCTTCAATCTAGTGGGCCTTTTTGTGTTGATTTTATAGTTTCGAGTAAACTACACCAATAACCCTTAAACTATAATCCTTGTATTAATTAAATCTTTGAACTAATTTTTTAAATTTTAAAATTTTAGTAATTAAGCCCTTAAAGTAATGTTAGTGTCAATTGAACCCCAAAACTACATAAATGACCTTAAACTATGACTTTTTTGTAAATTAAGTCCCTAAATTAATTTTTGTGTCAATTTAGTCTCTAACCTCTAAAATTTTAGCAATTAAGTCCATAAACTAATTTTCATGTTAATTGGACCCCTAAACTCTAAAATTTTAGTAATTAAACCCTCTTGTCAATAGCTGTTATGTTTTTGGATGAAATGTCTCACATGCTCATCATATAAACAACAGATTAGAGGTGTTTTAAATTGGTCGTTCAAAATTTATCAAACAAAGAAACCTCATCACCCATGAACCAAAACCCTATATATAAACCTAAACTTCTTTCATACCTATCGAACAAAGCAAATCAACAAACTCTTCGAAAAGCGTATTTATCTAATCTATTTTCTACACCAAATCGAAGAGCTTATTATTGATCTGTTTCATTAGTTTGAAATTAGTCAAATGGCTTAATTGCAAAAATTTTCGAATTTAAGGGCTCAATTAATATAAAATTTAGTTCAAAAACTTAATTGATATAAGCATCATAGATTAATGGTTATTTGTGTAGTTTACTCTATAACTTTGGGGTCCTTTTAATTTGTTGGAAAAAATACACTTTACTCCTATAATTAGACTTTTCACATTTTATGTATCTCATGTTTCATAATAATCACAGAATCATCGTATAAATTTTTGAGCAAAATACAGAGTCATAGGGATAACTGGGTTTGGTTTGTGTTGGATTTTATCCAAAAGTAAAATTGTTATTTGATTGTAAAAAGTGGTGGTGTTATTTCCATAAAGTAAAAAAGATAGCACACCAGAGTCGCGTACCTCTGCGATGAGCAAGTTATATCTTTTAGTGGAATTATAACAGTTGAAAATTATTTATAATTGATCATAAAATATTATGATCGATTATTAATAATTTCAATCAGTTATAATTTTATATTTTAAAAGTATTATTTAATTTTTTTTAAATTTGCATTTTTATAATTGATCACAATAAGTTGTGATTAATCATATCTTTTGAAAAACTGTTCAATGTTGAGTATGTGATACGCAGTAAGACATTTAATCACTTATTAGACTATTTCCAACTCTAACTTTAATTTAAACTCTAATCTAAATTTGAGTTTGGTTTAAAAACCTTATCCATTAGACTCAAACCTATACTAAATAAATAAAAAAAACTTATTCTGGACTCAAATTGAGAGAGATTTAAATTCTATACTAAATTTTCAACGGAAACTTTTTACCATATGCAAAAAACTTCTTCAACAACTTGTTCTTCTACCTCTTCCGACTTCTCTTTTCGACACTGCTACCATCGCCGACCACTAGTTCACAAATCCCTTGAAGACCTGTAGGTAAACTTCTTCTTTTTAATTTTTGGTATTCTTGATTCTTATATTTTTTAAAACTCTAATCTCACACTTCTTCATACTATATAAACCCTAGGCCTATTCATGATTTTTTTTTTTTTGATTTCTTTAAGTCAAACATTATCGATGGTGCAAGTTCAAGCCTTTACTATCCATAAAACGATCCGTTTGTTGTGCTTTTCAGACTAGACCCATGTCAAAATAATTATCTTTTTTTTTCTTTATCTGAATTCATAGATGAAGATAATGGATTAAAACAATCTGAGAATTTTGGGGTGATTTTCTTTTATTTTTTCTGTTTCTTTTTATTGTCAAGTGGTGTTTATAACTATATTCAATTTTTTTGAATTACCTATTTGTGGAGAGAGATAAAAGTTTCAATTATTTTATCAGATTTCATGATTTGAATGACATAAAAAAATGAGCTTTGTGACAATAAAAGAATTTTCTAAAAAGTTTGAGTAAATATTTGAGTTTGTCTATTAAAGTACTCTATACCGAAATCAAATTTTTTACTCAAATTTAAGTCTAAGAGCATCTCCAACTATGATTCAAATTTTTACTCAAATTCAAATTAACATTTGAGTAAAAAAAAATTGTTTTGATACAAAAGACTTCAATGGACAAACTTAAACTTAAAGAAGTAGAAATCTAAATTTAAATGAAGGACAAACTCAAATTTAAAAGAGAGTAAAGATGACCATATGATCTTTAAAAGAGAGTAAAATACCATTATTAAAGATTTAAGTAAGAATTTGAGTGTCCTTTAATTTGAGTAAAAAAATAAGTCTTTCTTGATTTTATATAAGTTTGAGTCAAATGTTAAAGCAATTTTTTAAGTTTTTTTACTTAAATTTAAATTTGAGTTAGGTTTGAAAATGCTCTAAATAATCTAAATTTGAATCATGATTAGAGATCATCTTATGTGCATATTTTAAATATATTTTTATGTAGTATGAGAGGTAGTTATTAGGAAGTTCAGTAAGGTAATGATAGCGTATTTGTGGGTAATATTATAAGTGGTTACTTGGATAACGAAGTCAGGAGTTAGATTTATTATTAAAATATTTTTTTATAATCTTATATTTAAAGACCCTTCAATCAATAAAATAAATATGTTAAATATCGTGATAAATTTTCTCGCGAAGTTTTAGTGACTAAATTCTTTTCAAATTGGACTAAAATAGGTTTTCAATCCCCTCAAAACGAGCTTTCTTTCCCTATTCTAATAGCTATAACCCATAGGAGTTTTCCCTTACACATTCTCCTCTACATGCCAGCGAACTGCACAATAGATAGGTTTGGATTGCCATGGATGGATTGAATTTGATTAGATTTAAATCAGAATCCAATCCAACCAAATGGAAAGTAATTCGGGTTGATTCAATCCTAATGAATAGAATCTCATCATATCCTATTTTTGGATGAGAGAAACATTTGTTTTGTGAGCTCCATTCACAGGTAGATGAAAGATGCTAAAATAATCATTACACTCCCACCTTTGAATTGGTATGATGTCAATCCAAAATAGGATGATTAGATACTTAGTTTTGAACAAAATTTTGATTTAATAAATTGTATTTTTTAACAACACAAAGTCAAAAAATTGTTCATAATTTTTTTAATTAAATTTTGTACAACACACAATTTATTAGAAAATCATATGAATTGTCCAGTCCAAACAACCGACAATAGATGATTACATGGGGGAGATAGAGAGTTGCTGGGTCACCGAAGTTGGTGGAGTCGATGGGGTTATGCGAGAGCGAGAGAGATAATGTGGGATTTGTTTTGTTTTTTTTTTTTTTTTTTTGGGGGGGGGGGGGGAGGGGCAGGAAATTGAGGGTTAGGGGGAATTTGGGTTTGGGGGTTGTGTGTGTGCGCTTTTAACAAAGATAGGGGAAAGGGGTTTGTGTGTGCGTGTTATAAAGAGATAGGATGGGAAGAATAGCTAACATAAAGACTGGGGGTTTGCTGGTGTTGGAGGTGGCATAAGCGATTTAGTGGTGTCATTCACAGTGGTGGTGCCTGTGGCTATGGTGATGTAGTGTAAAGGCACATAAGAAAGGGGTGGCGGCGCTGGTGGTGATTGGTCGCTGTTGGTGGTGGCACTGGTGGAGGTGTTGTCTATCTAGCAAGGGAGAAAGGACAGTGGTGTGAGATGGGAGAAGGAGAAAGAGAACGAAGAGAGAGAAAGCAGAAGATATGCTCCATAGACAAAGAACAGACGAAGAACGAGGGAGAGAGAAATGGGGACAGAGAGGACATCGGACAAAGGTAAAAACCCTAGAAAATTACTGTGCGGGGGTGTTTTTGTAAATCCTAAACTAATCTTGGAAGAAAAATAATCCCACACTCCCCTTGGGTTAAAAATATTAGGGTCAAATGGGATACTGGGCTGCAAACACAACGGGCCGCATTTTTTAATGATTACGAATATACCATAACATTTTATATATCCAAATCTATGATGTGTGGGCCCCTAATACTATTTTAACCCAATCCCGCACCTAATCCCTGCTAATCCTACCAAACAAACACCAGTTGTAACATCACCACTATCAACTAGTCAAGGGATAGGGTCACCTTATCCTAATCTCTCTCTATCTTTCTCTCACACACATAAGGACATATTATACTTTACATAAGTAACACACTGCATTGTTGGCTCCGCCGACTAGTCGTCAAATCCCATTTGCAACCTAATCTTTTAAGAGCATCTTTAACAACAAATGTTATTTTAGTTATTCAAAAAATAATATTTTTTATTTTAGCTATTCATTTTTTCAATATATACTCCAATAATTTTTTTGTATTTTTAACTACTTTCTTTAAATTTTATTTCTCATTTTTTTTTATTATTATTCTTTTCGGCAACTAAATTTTGAAACAATCATCCTTCTCAACAATCATTGAGTTTGGGGACTCAATCAATTCATCATCAAGAGACCCATTTTGTAAGAGATTGGCGAAGAATGCATTCAGATGCACTAGTGAACCCCCATTCAACAAGCTCATAACAAGGGCAAGAGAAACAAAGTAAAAAAAAAAGGTGAAGTAATACAATAAAAGAAGAGCGATTTGGGTTGAACTAAAAATGCGTTTTCTATATGTGTGCAAGAGAAGAAGAGTAGCGAGAGGGATCTTGATTTGAGAGCAGTGAGAGTTATATTTCGAACTGTTGGAAGGAGAGGGAGACTAGAGGGAAAGATAATGGCAGGAAAAAGAAATGAAGAGAGGAAAAATAATATAAATTATGCATACAACTTGCTAGAGTGATACTCTATATTTAGAGTATCAGTGTAGCAAAAATCTATTAGAGAACATTTTGAACATATTATGTTGGAGTATGTTTTTAGCCTTTAATTAACTAAATTTT